CAAAACATTTCTGAAATACAATCTAATTATCATGTACTTTATGTCTTAAAGTCTAAAATTAAAATTCTAACCCTTTCGGTATAGTATAGAGTTTCGGAAAAGGTTTCGGGATATTATATATAGTTCGGGTTTCGTTACCCAACTCTACTATAAATAGAAGTTGCCAAAAATATTTTTTATTCTTTGAGCGAAGATATCTCAGTAGCCATCAAGCCAAATTTGATGAACTTTTTTTTTATTTGAATTCTACGAACCTGTAGGATTCAAATAAAAAAAAAAAGTTCATCGAATTTGACCCAGTGGTTATTAAGATACCTTCACTCAAGCATTGGGAAATTTATAGGCGTTGAGTTTTTTAAAAATTTGAGCGAAGATATTTTGACAATCACCAAGCCAAATTCAATAACTTTTTTTTATTTGAATTCTACAAATTTTAAAATTTAGATTAAAAAATTTCATCGAATTTGACTTGGTGGGTGTCGAGATATCTTCGCTCAAAGTTCAAAAAAAACTTGAGTATTAATGGCAAATTTGGGTACAAATACAATCCCCTTAAAATAAAATAAATTTTTTCATTAGAGATATATTCAAAGTTTTGTAAAGCATTTCGAATAATTTTAAAAATTTAAAATTTATCAAATTTAGTTAGGTAGCTATTCAAGATATCTTCATTTAAAGAATTGTAAATCAAATAATACGGGTGTTTGACAACACAACGATCTGGAAATATCAATTCCCTTAAATATTTGTATTAATTATATAATTTATTCATTTTTAATATTAGGGTGTCGTTGGTTCTTCGACTGCATTAATAGCAGTTCTACGAGATGATGAACTTCGGATAACAAACATCGGTGATTGTGGAATATGTGTTATTCGTAATAATAATATCATATTCAGAAACGAAGAGCAGCAACACAGCTTTAATTATCCCTTTCAATTAGGCATTTATTCTTATGATAAACCGAAAGATTCTCAAGAATTTACGATTAAAATTCAAAAAGGAGATTTGATAGTTATAGGATCTGATGGTATCTTTGACAATTTATTTGAAGATGATATACTCGAAGAAATTGCTCAATTTAATAATACTCAAAAAGGTGGTCTAAGAGTAGATCCTCAAGTGATTAGTGATTCTCTTGCATGGCGCGCTAAAGCTGCTAGTGAAGATGTTAATAATGTAAGCCCTTTTCAAAGTCGTGCTATGCAAGAAGGGTTATACTATCAAGGTGGTAAGAAAGATGATATAAGTGTATTGGTGGCTAGTGTAATATAACGAATAAAAATTTGATAGATTTTAAACAATATACATGATGAATAGGTATTTTCACCATTTTATTATGCTCATATAGAGATGAGAGCCGGATATCCGTTAATTTTTCCTATTTTTAATTTTATAATAAAATTGTTAAATATATACAACGGATAGACGGATCCCATCTCTATGTAAATATTATAACCATATATATCATATATATTTATTTATTAGTTTTTATTTTTATGACAAATGTTTTGCAGGACAAATATATCAAATTTAAATCATTAAATTATTACTATCGCATTTAAATAAGGTTGGAAATTTCAGATATACTGTTTGTTCTCATGAGAACAGAATAATATTTATAAGTGTTCTCAAATATTATACTAATGTATGTTCACATGCATATACATAAAAAAAAACTACATAACTGAAATCAGAAAATTAAATAAGAGCATATGTAAGTGAAATTTAAAAAATGTAAGATTTAAAGATCGCTCAAAGATGAATAATAAATTTTAACAGTAATTAAACATTAGATTTATATTATGATTACTTATATCCAGCTTGGCATGACATATGTTAAATAGCTATTTATCATATATACTGTACAGTATTACATTATTATTATTTTAGTGAACAGTAAAAAAATTTACACTGTGCTCAAATTTACAAGTGTTTTCATGAGAACTCTGAAAACACTGCTCATTTAAATAAGGTTTAAAGAAATAAATTTCTTTTTTAATACACTTGTCTAAAGTCTCTCTTGAACCGTTTTATTCTGTTACTTGACAATCTGCGCTTTCCATTTCATTTCTATTGTCTAACTTTTAACACGCCCCTAGGAACTTATTACGTAAAGTTAAATCACATGACGTGACTTTAGTGTGTTAGGTATATATTATTTTGGTCTCGTAGCGTGATTTAATAAGTAATTACCTTGCCCATCTCTATCCCTACAGTCTGGAAGTAAGGTATTCTTGGTATCCGAAACGAAACCTATCCGAAACTAGTTTCGGAAAGTCATAATTCGAAACCAGTTTCGGATTCTTTAAAAAAAAAAAAAAAATCGAAACTTCGGAACCTCGAAATTTCTAAAATTTATAATACGTCACTCTCGTTATATTGAGCGCTTCTGAAATCTGTGCCAGGTTATGCCGATCACCGAATCGAAAAGTATTAAGTACAGATTTTAATTTACTTTATATT